AAAATTCTGCAGTGAATCGTATACATACCGCAGCCGCGTTGGTGCATGACATCGGTGACCGCGCCCTTCTCCCTCCAGTCAATAGACGGGAGCACCAGAGTGTCGTCCTCGTACATGAAGCTCGTGGAGCCGCGTTGCGCCCCATGGAACATCCTGTGGTGGTCATCGTCCACCCCAGCACACGAGCTCCTCAACTCGTGGTTGGTCATGTCAGCGAACTTGTTGAGCTTCAACTTGTAGGGCTTGTCCTGCTGGTTCACTCGGTGGACGTGCATGACCTTCTGCTTGAACACGTTGAACCGGTTGTGCTTGTCATCGGGGCTCCGGGACACCCCGTGGTGGCTCTGCCACCGCTCATACAGGTCCCACAGGCTGTCCTCTGACGCCAGGTCCCTCTCGTGGAAGTCAAAGCTCTCGGCGATCCCGAGGATTGACACGAGCGCCAAGGCAACTAAGAAGAAGAGTTTCTTGAACCCCATTTCGTATTGGACAGCTCGAACTCAATGCAACGTGATGGTATGAAGGATGTGGGGAATTTGGAGGAGTCGAGTGTTGTTTATATAGAGGAACGACATGAAAATGATGACGGGAGATGATGACCGAAGAAGTTACGAGTTCCTTACTATCGTCAACAATCACACACCTTGTTCATTACTAAAATAGATGAGATTAACGCGCACAAGCAAGCCCAGTTTAGAGGGATGTGTATGACTTTGCAAAGCTCATTAAAACGGCTTGCAAACACCAAAACGAGAACTAAATGGAAATGCTGATAAAAATGGCAGTGATCTTCAATAGAAACCACTTGCTTTTTGGGTGTGAACTGCAGTATTTTTGGGAGGGTTTCGCTATGTGCAAGTAATTTTATCTTCACAATTCCTCATGAGCATTGACGCAAGACTAGATTAACGCGCACAAGCAAGCCCAGTTTAGAGATATGTGTATGACTCTACAAACTCATTAAACAGCCTGCGAACACCAGAATGAGAATTAAATGGAAATGCCAAGGAACATGGCAGTGATTTTTAATAGAAACAAATTGCCTTTTGGGTGTGAACTACAGTATTTTTTGGATGATTTCGCTATGTGCAAGTAATTCTATCTTCACAGTTATCACGGGCATCAACAATCGCACACCGCCTTCATTACTGAAATAGATGAGATTAACGCGCACAAGTAAGCCCAGTTTAGAGATATGAAAGCTCATTAAACAGCCTGCGAACACCAGAACCATAACTAAATGGAATGCTGATGAACATGGCCGTGACTTTTAATAGAAACCAATCGCTTTTTGGGTGTGAACTGCAGTAATTTTTTGGAAAGTTTTGCCTATGTGCAAGTAATTATATCTTCACAGTTCCTCACGGGCATCAACAATCACACACCGCGTTCATTACTAAAATAGATGAGATTAACGTGCACAAGCAAGCCCAATTTAGAGATATGTGCATGACTTTGCAAAGCTCATTAAACATCCCGTGAACACCAAAACAAGAACTAAATGGAAATACTGATGAACATGGCGGTGATTTTTAATAGAAACCAATTGCTTTTTGGGTGTGAACTGCAGTAAGTTTGTGGAATGTTTTGCTATGTGCAAGTAATTCTATCTTCACAGTTCCTCCCTGGCATCAACAATCACACACGGCGTTCATTACGAAAATAGATGAGATTAACGCGCACAAGCAAGCCCAGTTTAGAGATATGTGCATGACTTTGTAAAGCTCATTAAACAGCCTACGAACGCCAGAACGAGAACTAAATGGAAATGCTTATGAACATGGTAGTGATTTTTAATACTGATGAACATGGCGGTGCATGACTTTGCAAAGCTCATTAAACAGCCCGCAAATACCAAAACGAGAATAAAAGGAAATATTGATGAACATGGCAGTGATTTTTAATAGAAACCAATTGCTTTTTGGGTGTGAACTGCTGTTATTTGTGGAATGTTTTGCTATGTGCAAGTAATTCTATCTTCACAGTTCCTCTCGGGTATCAACATTCACACACCGCGTTCATTACGAAAATAGATGAGATTAACGCGCACAAGCAAGCACAGTTTAGAGATATGTGCATGACTTTGTAAAGCTCATTAAACAGCCTGCGAACACCAGAACAAGAACTAAATGGAAATGCCTATGAACATGGCAGTGATCTTTGCATGCCGAACAGGCAATTATGTTGACACGCTTTTGCATAATCGCCTCTGTCTTCAATAGAAACCACTTGCTTTTGGGTGTGAACTGAACTGCAGTATTTAACAGACATCAAAAGCTTTCCCACCCACTTGGCTTTTGGGTGTGAATCGCATTCTATATTCCACACCCCCCCCCCCCCCCCAATGCAATTGATTGACTCTTCTCTTACTGATAAACTAGTGGCCATCGTGCTAATTATGGCATCAGTGACTATGCAGCAGCAATCCGCACGGCTTAATAAAGCTGAATGATTTTCATATGAGAATAATTCAAGATGATCATATTACGTGCAAGGATAAGCAGTTTGATGTTATCAGTGGCAGTTTTGTTGTTAGGACAATAGTTTTTTTGCGTCCCAGATATGTCATTTCTTATTCAGTGTTATTTTTTTTGGGGATATATGCACGGGAGAACTCAATTGTACTGTCGCGACAAGTTTTGGGACTTCCAATGAAATTCCAAGCACAGGATGTTCTTCACCGCGAAGCTGGCGTTGCAATCGCTTCAGGGGTTTCCTCGGAGATAACCATCTCTCCCATGGTAGCACCTTGGTTAAGTTCACGAGGTTTGGGCTTGGAAGCAAAGGGACCATGCTAGGCTCGACCCCTTCTTTTTATTTTCTTTTCTTTTTTGTGCGCGACACGGCGTGAGCTTAGGCTTGCCAGGCCACGTCATGTTCAGGCCGACACGGCCTGTTGCCCGCACGTTGGTGCTTTTAGGCTCTGCTTGTTTCGCAAAAAATGAGTGATTCACAAAACATTTTCCTCAAAACATCTTGCTTAAGAACGATCACTGACAAAAATAAATGGATGAGAAATATTTTTCCCGGTTCACGGCAAAGTTTGATAATGAAAATATTTTTCGTTAACTAGTTATTTCAAGGAGTGCAAGCCATCGTTTTTATGGGAATATTTTCTAAATTATTCAATTTTCGGGAGACAAACGAAATCCTAAGGGGTTGGACCAACGAGGCCTTTGTCAATCATCCATTATCTTGCTCTACTTTAATGATGTCTAAGATCGATTTGAACTCTTTCGAGCGCTCGGGAAAAAGTCCAAAAGAGAACATTTAAAAACGTCTTGGCGCGTCCGTGTTTCGTTTCTGTATTTTGTCTCTTACCTTTTTCTTTACATCTTTCGTAATTTGACTATTGGAAATCTTTCGAGACATATTGACATGGTCATACACAATTATATATTTTTACAAAAAATGAATTTCGAGCAGTAAAAGCTCCACAAAAAAAGAAATGAGATTTGCCGGTTGAAAATCTCTTCCGGTGGAGGAGCATGAGCCAAGATTCACTCGTTGCTATCGGTTGGTCGGCATGTTGCCTTTGAATTAAGCCAATTGTTAGAAAAGATTTTATCGAAAATGTGGAACGTCACTGAAAGTGGTGATTGGGATTTTTTTTCATCAGCCCAGCCTATAAAAAAGAAGGGTACGGAAATATAATTATTTCAGAAAATCGGCCATGATTAAATCCTCGCCCCGCGAGGCGGCATGACCGAATGATATCACGTTAACATTAGATGGCACCGGCATCGATCTCCCGTCCGACAAGATCTTTTTGGCGACAACTAGGAAAGACTAACATTTGAGGTGAGGTGGATGCTAGATGATTCCATCGTCATCTTCCCGCACTTTCCTGTTTTTTTGCCGCCATCTTCACAGCATTCGATCCATTCCTCTCTCTCTCTCTCTGCTTTCTTTCAATCTCCCGAGAGAAAGCGCAATCACCCATCATCGGATTTGTAGCAAAAACCCGATTTTATGCGATACCCAGAATAGGGCTGTCAAAATAACCCAATCAAACACGATCTAACCCGACTCAACCCGACCCGACCCGAAAATTTTCATATTAGGTCGGGTTGAGCCTCGACTTGTTTGGGTAACAATCAAAACAATACCCAATTGTTTTGGGTTTATTGGGCTTGGATACCCAGCCCAACCCAAACAATGAAACATCTCTGTTCCACATCTCTCTCACACACTCTCTCGCCTCTTCTGGGTAGGTAGGATTTCTTGCAATCTGCTGTTCCTAAGGCTGCGAAGTCGATTCCGAAAGGGGCCATGGCCAAAAGAATCACAGGGAAGGTCAAGTGGTTTAGCGACCAGAAGGGCTTCGGCTTCATAACCCCCGACGACGGCTCCAAGAATCTCTTCGTCCTCCAGTCCGAGGGCTTTCGCAGCCTCGCCGAGGGCGAAGCTATCGAGTTCTAGATCAAGTGCGACTCATTATCCTCATCGATTTCAGGACCGTCGAGGATTCTTTCCTTTGGTTATTTTCGGTCGTCCAACGTCGGTGAATGAAGCGTTCTAGAAGCTGAAAATCGAAGGTTATATGTTCTATTCATCTGCAGTTGCTTATGTTTGAAAATGGTTCAGTATTTCAGATCTAAAGGTAGGTAAGTGGAGCGATTTTTTACAATCTTTGAAATCATTGTCAATAATTTTCAAAATTCTGCATTTAATGGAGGTGTTTCAGCTGCTTGGTCTGGTGTCTTCTTCATCCTGGTTTATGTCTTCTTCAACCCAAAGGATCCTTAGCTACAGCGGGGGCAGTTACGGCGGGTCGGCTACGGTGGTGGCGGGAGAGGAAGGTACGGAGGCGGCTGCGGCCGAGGCCGAGGCGGAAGCCGCTGTAACCTAACATTAATTTAAAATTAAAATATGAAACACAAAACCCGACCCGGCCCGGCCCAACCCAACCCGATCTGATCGTGCAGCTGTATCATGTTTGGGTCTTGTCTTGGGTCGGGCCAAACGCATATGATCATTATATCGGGTCGGGCCGGACCGGGCATCATGAAAACCTGACCCGACCCGATCCATTGGCACCCCTAACCCAGAACCGTAGATTTTACTAAAACTAGCAGTTACGGTGACTCCCAGGCCCGATTCACCCGCACCTCCTCCAGTTACGGCGAAGTTTGCAATTTGCGTCCACTTGCAAACGGTTTGCATTCGGGGATCTGCTTCGTGTCAAGACCTGATGTGTTTAATGATAATGACCCGATTTGTTGTGTTGGCGTTTGCTGTCTGTTGGCACCAGGTTTCATACCCTTTCAGAAAGCCAGAGGTTTCGGATATACTATTATTATTCCAGGCACCGCCAATATTGCAGATTTCTTTTAATGGTATTTGAAAAATTGCAGTTAACCAAGTTGTGATTGCTCCGCAAAATTTGCACATTGCTTATTAGTTTCTTGCTTTGTTTGTGGCGTGCAGCAAGTTGGCTTCAGTTCAGCCGATGTATTGAACAGTGTGTTAGTATTTAGTTGTGCGAAGCCTTGTTGACAAGAGCAAATGATGGTATAGCAATGAACATCAGGATGATACTAGGAAATATGGTCCGAAGAATCTCGATAGTAGTTCCACGAACAATCCTTTGCGGGATTGGATTTTTCTGATAGTGGAAATGCCATAAAACGCGAACCAAGATCCGTAATTTTGTGGCAAAGGCTGGGGACTACGTTGAAGTCTTTATCTTCAATCCTGCACCTTTTATTCCGACTTGTTTTTTACATGTACCCTCCTGTCCACTCTCATGCACGTAACAACTACGTTTCTCTTTGTACTAATTCTGAATGCCTGGTGGTTTTTATTGTAGGTTCGCGATGGTAAACTATTGGTGAACAGTGCTGCTCAAGATGAAGATTTCCATATTAGAGCCACTTTCTTATGAGATGGAACCATTGGCGATGCTAATTTGAATTCGTGCCAACTTAATTTGCTAATAGCATCACACAGCCGACATTTTGATCAAGCTTTCTGACCGTTTCAATTGCAGCTTATTCCTGAAGGATATGTATTTGTAATGGGTGACAAGAGGAACAACAGCTTTGACTCACATAGCTGGTGAGTTTTGTGTCTTCCGGTAATTCCTACTCCTCCTTGTGTAAAGCGATAAATCGAGTAAATTGCATCTGGGGGAATAGAGAATTTTGCAACTTTTGTATGCACCTTCTATTATTTAGTTGTTTTCAGAACGTTAGGAGCTTGGTTCTGTTTAGTTTTCGTAGTTGAGCAGAGTAATTGTCATTTTTTGTTGTATATTTGTGTATTCGATGGTCATTCGCTTGATTTGATTACTGTGAATTCTGACGTGTGAAGTTTTGATACTTGCAGGGGTCCGCCTCCTATCAAGAACATTGTTGGCAGATCAGTGTTCCGGTATCGGCCTCCTTCCAGGGTCTCGGACACTAGATCTGAGCCTTAATCTGCAAAAGACGACGTTGGATCCTGACATAGCCTCATGCTCGCTGATAGGGCAATCGGCTGTTGACTCCTTATCTAATTTACGTGGTGATTTTTACAATTATTCTCCACTCTTTCTGTCTCATTGTTGAGCATATGTGAATATGTTCGAGTCTTCCTTTAACCTTGCGCAGGCAGCTTGCTTTTGCCTGTTCTTGATGGATTGTCTCATCCATCCTGTGAATAGTGAGAGGTAAAAAGAACCGAGAAAAGATCCAAAAAAAAAGAGAAAAACCAAAAACCCAAGAAAAGGGAAAAAGAAGAAGAAAGACAGAGACTGATCCAATAGTTTGTTCATGGGTTTACTTAGCCAGTGTGGCAATTTTTTCCTTCCTGTAATGACATTTTGTTACATTTATAATAGAAGAGTGGCGAGAGCCTAAGATTTGAGCCGTATGTGGCACTATTTTCATCTGTGTTTGAAGTGTAGTAACCGAGAAATTTTCCAGCGTATTCTGTGAAGTGCATAATCCTTTCTGTCTGTGTTGATTTAGTGAAGGGAGTGACGAAATTTAATCGGAATGCAAACCAAATGTTTGTGCCGTTCTAGTTGAAGGCATGCGTTCCTTGGTTAATTTCTTCAGAATGCTGTAGAAATTCATGAACAGCTAGAAGGGGATCCCTATCAACATATTATTTGTGCAGTAGATTATTTTCTTCAGCATCTCGTAGCTTTTCTGCTGGATTGCGCATTATTTTACTTTTGTCATTTCTTAGGTATGTATTAGCTTCTTCACCGTACGCATGTCTCGGTTCAACTTGGCAAACGTAATTCATGTATGCGAGGTCACATTTTTCTTCATCAAATAAGCTTAATTAATACTTTTCTTTAGTTATTAGGAAAAGGCTCTACGGCAGCGCCATGAAAAAAGTTCTTCAGCTTACCTCTGCCCTTTCCCTGAAGCCAGAGATTCATGGATACAGTCCATTCTCCCCCTCTCAAAAAAGAAAAAACAAACAAATGAATGCAGATTCGAGAGGTATCCACGGAGTGAAACAGTTCGAGAGTAGTACAGTGGTGGTGATGAAGCCATGGATTATATGACATGAACACTGCAATGGGATTTTAATCAACTTAATGAAAAGCTAAATTTCTAGAGCCTACCCTTTCATGGTTGCATTAGAATTAAAATCAACCCCAGTCAAACCATTTGCTTTAGAATCACCAGCAGTCAAAGTCAAACCGTTTGCTCCTCCATTCATGTCCACTGTCTGGTATCCATACCAAGACGCACACAGCAAAAAGAACCCAAAATTCACGACGCTTAGTCCTGCCAATAACCAGTAGAAGTAATTCATGAGGGTGAAATTTAAATTTATGTCTTTTTTTTTGGTTTTTGTAGAATATTTTTATAAATAATAATAGAAGCTCAATTAGACTCCATATGGCTCCCAAGCTTGTCGAGTGGAGTATTGGTGAGCTCGAACTCAACTAGACTCGAAATTAGGCAAGTCGATTTCGAGTAATAATTGAGTCGAGCCCGAGGTACTCACGAGCTGCTTGACTCACATTTCACCCTATCCCTGGCTTTTCCTATTATTATTTTTTTTTTTTATCAGACCTTGCTTTTGGCTTTTCTTATTGAGCAGGCGGAGAAAGGGTGCTTTTATGGGAGGGGGGGTGGGGGGGGAGGTTTCTTTTTGGAGGAAGAAAGCCTGAATCCTCAAAGATGTATTACTTGTTTTGTCATAGCAGTATTTCAGTCATTATCTGTTTTGGTGCAGCCCTTGTGCTCGCACTTGACATCCTGCTCTCCCGTGGCACTTATATAACCTCAGTTGTGATGTAAATCTATTTGGTTCAAATTGCTCTCTCTCTCTTCGCCTGCAGGGAAATTTGACGCTATCAGATAGTGGATTGGCTGAGAAGCAAATATACCACGCTGCACTTGATGGTAACTGCATGCAGAAAGGCGATTAAGTTACGCCATTGTCAATTAGGTTATTCTATGGACACGGTAGATATTAAAGTTCATTGGTCAGATACCTCTTGCTGCTTGACGCAATCCCTTCTCTGAGCTAACGATTTGCAAAGTTACACAACTACACATAGACAAGGTTGAAGCTCTCTTGTGCCGCTGCAAGTCTGATTAGTCGAGGCTGATCAATATGCACAGCAATGTACATTCGTTCTCTTTTAATTTTGACACTGAAAAATCTATATGCAGAGTCCTTTGCAAAGCTACGGTTCTGAAGCTCTTCTACTGTTCTTAAGCTCTTATCTGTTTCTGGTGTTCTAGCCAGTGCAGAGTTGAATTTGCCCTCACTTCTTTGTCAAGGTGAACATGGGTTTGGTCTGCTTTTTCTTCTCTGTGCCCGTGTCTCAACATCTCTAATCCACACAAAACATATAAGAGCAGGGAAATTTGAGTGATCCCTTAGGTGGCGAGTTCAGGACACTATATCTTACAAAGCTTCTTACGTTGATGCAATGTTGATTTTTCCTCTGGAAGTACTATTCTGCGAATCTAGGGTAATGGGGTATGCCGACAAATACGTGATCTCTGGATTTTTTTACTTTGGTCCTGTTCCATCTATGTATGAAACTCGTAATGATTATGATCTGAAGATGGGTTCTGTCCGCGATGATTCTTCTGACGCACAATTGAAGGACAAATGAGCAAAACATGGTCAAGAGAGAGGGGTGGCTTCAGATTCCAGGTTCCATTAGACAGTAAAAATACTCTCCTCGGTGCTCTATACGAAGCAGTAGGAGAGGTAAGACAGAAATGGAGTGTGTTATTGACCGACGCCGCTTTGAAAATCACTCCACCTTACCTCGCAAACTGGTCTAATTGTGTGCTCCTCAACTGGTGTGCTATTTACTGTGGAAAGCAATTCCATATCCCGTGCAAGCAATTGCTGGGAAAGAAGAAAAGCAAAATTTGATGGCTCATATAGATCCAATCCATGTCCTTTGCAAGCAATTGCTGAGTATGAAGTAAGCAAGTTTTGATGGCTCATATAGATCCAAGTGAATAGAAGTGAGTCCACGCTTCCTGCAACACGAGAGTACACCTCTCGTGTTATTCCAGTTCATCCTCGTTGAAAGTCGACAAGAGTTTGCAAACTTGTGATGGACATGGATTTACGAACTATAGCCAAACAAGTTTTCATGAGGCAATGAACCTAGAACCGAAACAGCACCAACATGAAAGCTGGACGAAGACAAACAGCAGCAACAACACGAAAGCTCCCACCTTGAGGTCAGACGTCAACTTTAGGTTTCAAAGCAGCTTCCTGATTGAAGATATTCATGAACTCTTTGACCTTTCCTTTCGCGCTGCTTCTACCAATGCCATCTCGTTGACCCGTTGGCAATCCCTGCGATGCAACTTTTGTTACTCCTTTGCTGTTCGAACCGCGCCGACCATCTTGTTTCTTTACTCCTTTATCAGCATCATTCTGCCCAAGAGACTGTTCAGTACTCATCAGGAGACTGTTCAGTACTCCTTCTTCCTGTCTGCCATGACCTCATTACTCTCTGCAACTGGAAAAAAGAGATTCTGAATTCGAGATTTCATGGAAAGATATAAAAGCTACAACTCTGAATGTAGACTACCGTGTTCATCTTTATCACTTAGCAAAGAACGAAGAGGTTTTAATTCGGGCTTGGATAGTTCTTCCTCTTTCTCCATATTCTGACGCAAACCTGTCTGGGGCAGAGCGTGGGATTTTGTTTCTCCTCTTATTGCATGGCATGGCATCACTATGACCATCTGCGCTGTTCCTTAAGCTGCTCAAAGTTTTTTGTCTGCTAATATTGATGCCTGCTTCTTCAGCAGCGTGGCGTGTTTCCGCTTGGACTTGCAAGCTTGATTGCTCCATTGTCACAGGGGAGGCTGGAAGATGATGAGGTCAATAGAAGTTAAAACAAAGGCATTAATCGGAAATGTTTTACCTAACATCCTAAAGCGATTTCTATAGAGTATCCTTTTGCAGCCAAAAAGATGACGCGGAAACCATTTATTCAATATGATCGAAATTTGCCAAAACAAGTTTTCTTCTGCTGTAAATGGAAAGCAAATTGAGACACGATAGCACCACCCTAGAATCACTTTTTTCTCCTGACCTAGCCGTCTCACAACCAGAGCTCTCAGTAACGCGCGTTTCTTCTCACGTTCACACCCAGCTGCCAGAAAATGGACCTGAGAGAATCCATCGCCAACCAGACCGACGCCGCCCTCGCCCTCTCCAAGCAGGTCCTCTTGACCGGGGCCAAGGACTCCAACCTCGTCTTCTCTCCCCTCTCCATCCACATGGTGCTCGGCCTGATCGCCGCTGGCTCCGCGGGGCCCACCCAGGACCAGCTCCTCTCTTTCCTCAAGGCCAAATCCACCGACCATCTCCACTCCTTAGCTTCTCAGCTCCTCCTCGTCGTGCTCGCCGACGACAGCGCCACCGGCGGGCCCAAGCTGTCCTTCGCGAACGGCATTTGGATCGATAAGTCGTTGCCTCTCAGGCCTTCTTTCCAACAGGTGGTGGACGCGTCTTATAAGGCGACCACTAATTTCGCTGATTTCAAAACCAAGGTTAGTTCTTTCTCTTTCTTCTGTTTATTGGGTCGAATACATGCGCGGCTTTCTTGGTTTCTTTGGTCGGATGGTTCTGGGAGGCTGAAGTGACTGTGCTTAGATATTTTAACTAGGTGTTCTACCCATTTGCTGTTTCGTGGGTGGAACGCTCTTCCGTGGATTGGAACGTAAGAATATGTTTTATTCATGAAAATAGTTTTGAAAATCATTTCCTCTTCTAATTTTTCTTCGGTTTGGGATTTGAAATACTGCTCGTAATTGGTTTACTTGTTTAACAGAAACCTCCCGGAATGTTAAGGCAATAGCTCTTTCTTAATGAAGTATAATCCAAACATGCACAAACAACATGTAAATCCGCTAAAGTGAGCTCATAGTAACCTTGCGTTAGAGGCCTACATGATGAACATAAAAGAATGGTCACAAACTCTGGTAAGCTTCAAATGAAAAAAGTTCAATCCAGATGCGTTGGTCAACAATCATACAAAGTTTACTTAATCAGGGCTTTAGATGATGTTGTTTGAAGCTATCCAGTTGGAAGGGACCATGATCGTGCCCTGTAGGTGCATTTACAAGGATTTCCTATTTTCTGTCATATTCTAAGCATGTTAAAGACGTAAACTTTATGCTCCCAGATTGCAACTCGCTAGTGCAACAAGTTTGACCCTCCTAACCTTCCCATTCATCATCAACGTACTGATTTTCCACAGATTTACTACATGGGAATTTGTAGCAGGGGCAAATATTGATATTGCATCTGGCTCTTGTGTAGTTCTCACCGTAGCCATAGATCATGTAAATACAGAGAAATCAAAATGACCATATTAGGAAAAGAAATTTAGCATAGTTATTACATAATACATTGCCCTCTCGCTGTGCGAACCCCAATCACAGGTTACGCTATCATTTCTGATTGGATATTTGCATACTTGTCATGATCAAGCAATTTCAGTATGACTGTAGACCGGAGTGAGATGTGTCATTGTAGATGTTTCTGGAAAATATAATTGGAAATTAATTCTACAGCTTCTGCTACTGGTTTCCACACGGTGCTTAACTTAAGGATCGTGGAGAACTGACTTAACATGCAATCACCATGTTGAAGAACATCTTTTGTAGTCAAATACTTCAAGTAGTGCAATATCGACTAGTCAGACTCTCGCATATGTGACATGAGTACTAGTGTGTTGCCTTTGGTAGGACTTTCAGCAGTCCACTATTTGAATTTGAGACTTTCACTTTGTTGGTGCATGGGGTTATAGAAACATAGGGTGACCCTTTTTCGTGGGGATTTCTTTGCTGATGGGCTTACCCTTTTTTTTTGTGCCAATTATTTTCTTGGTTCTCTAATGTTCCTTTTGTTGCCTAATTTTCTATATCAATGGTTCCTCTATACTATTTTGAATCGTGAAACTGAAACTTTTGTTCTTTCTTCAGTCATGGTTGAGAATGTGGTTCCGTGCTAATTAACTTTAGTATTGACCCGTAATTTTCATCCTTCCATAAATGGCTAGGATTTGAGTTGAATTGCAATCTTTTCTAAGTTCTTACATGAATGTCCTTTCTATTCGTTAAACAATGGCATTAGCTGCTCGCTTTTTGTATCGCCTGGTATTCTATGGACTGATTAGAAGAACCCCATTAGGCTATTGAGGTGACTAGCGAGGTTAATACGTGGGCTGAGAAGGAGACCAGTGGCCTCATAAAGGAGGTTCTCCCAGCCGGCTCAGTTGACAATTCAGCTCAACTCATTTTTGTGAATGCCCTTTACTTCAAAGGTGCTTGGAATGACAAGTTCGACTCTTCAAAGACAAAGGATAGTGACTTTTTCCTTCTCAATGGGAATTCTGTTCAAGTTCCTTTCATGACTAGTGAGAACGAGCAGATCCTCGCGGCTCACGACGGTTTTAAAGTCTTGGGACTTCCTTATAAGCAAGGGGAGGACAAGCGTCAGTTTTCGATTTACTTATTTCTTCCGGATGCGAGAGATGGACTCCCGGCTCTCGTGCAGAAAGTCTGTTCTGAATCTGGCTTTCTGGATCGCCATCTTCCCTACAAGAAATTGAAAGTGCGGGAATTCCGAATCCCGAGATTCAAGATATCATTTGGATTTGAAGCTTCAGAAGATCTGAAGAAGTTGGGATTGGTATTACCATTTTCGGGTGGAGGATTGACACAGATGGTGGACTCTGTCAATCTCTATGTCGCACGCATATTTCACAAATCCTTCATTGAAGTTAATGAAGAAGGAACAGAAGCGGCCGCCGCTTCTGCTGCTATTATGTTTGGGAGTGTGCGTTTTCCGAAGAAGATAGACTTTGTCGCCGATCACCCGTTCCTGTTCTTGGTGAGAGAGGATATGACTGGCACGGTGTTGTTTGTGGGTCAGGTGCTCAATCCGCTAGCCAGCTGATCATAAGTCGAACAAGAGCATTAGTATTCCTAACTCTATTGGCACTAAAACGAGAGGTTGTTTGGTTTATTGCATATGTTTTGATGTATTAATCGGTCAATGCACAATTAGGGAGGGTGCAATATCTTTTCGTATTGTATCAATTATCATGACATGTTCGTGGACACCTATGTCTTCCAATGTCTTTGCCCCTTCTATTTATTTTTTCTGAGTAAAAGTATCGGGAATATTGCATCTAGTTCATTGATAATTCCAGTTTTTTTTTCTTTTTCTGTAAGCATATGTGCCTATGAACACATTTGAGATTTGCGTGTTCAAAATCGAGTACGTCCCAAATCAGCTTGAGTACAAGTACTTCCGCATCTTGGATTCTCCCTTCGCCTTTAGCATCTGCATGAATAAGAGAGCTTATATGTCCGTATGCTTTGTTTGTGTGACTTGACTTAGTGGATGTCTCTATCAAAAAAAGGGAACACCACACTCATTGAATTCATTTTCACGGAGGGTGAGTCTGGACACAAATGCTCTTTCCATTATTCTTCATTCAACAATATTATGCATGGCCTCCGAGAATCCACCTGCAACCAGGGCGAAGTCGCTCCGACACTCGGGAAGCACCTGTTCCCAACTAAGATCGAGGACTGGAACGTCATCTTCTCTCCCCCATTCGATCCTCGCCGTTTTGAGCCTGCTCCCCATCGGACGAACTCAAGCCCAGCTCGTCTCTGTCGTCAAGGCGAAGTCCATCGATCACCTCAACACCTTTTAGCTAACGGAAGGGGCACAGAGGGGCCGAAACTGTCAATCCGGAATGGCATTTGGGTTGCCGGTTACATGCCTCTCCGGAATTGTTTCGAACGGGCGGTGGGCACCCGCTACAAGGCTGCCATCGTGGCCGTCGAAAAACGATTATTTGGCCAATGTATTATCTTGTTCACTGCAATAACTTTCAGTCTATCATACAATATAAAAATCTTTCTTTTTGCCGGCGAACATCGATTCGCACATTGCAATATTAGAAACTAATTTGTATGATCAAGAGTCAACCATTCGTCGGACAAGTATACCTGTATATGTTGTCTACGAAGCACAATGATATGCCCAGCTAAGGCTGTCATCATTGCTAAATTCTCCATTTTCGCCAAAGTATTGATTCTTTTCGAGCATTATCTACATGTATGATCAAAATTGTTTTTACAAAGAGTTCCAATTTACTAAGATTGTCACTCAAGTAAAATAACTTGCTCATCGCTTGAGTGACAATCTCACTTCGGTCTTTAGCTATACCGAAATTGCTTGATTATGACAAGTATGCGAATACCCAATAAGAAATTACAGTGTAACCTGTGATTAGGGTTGACACAGCGAGAGGGCAATGTATTCTATAATAACTATGCCAAATTTCTTTTCCTAATATGGTCATTTCGATTTCTCTGTATTTTATATGATCTATGGCCATGGTAAGAAGTGGACAGGAGCCAGATGCAATATCAATATTTGCCTCTGCTACAAATTCCCATGTAGTTAATATGTGGAAAATCAGTACATTGATGATGAATGGGAAGGTTAGGAGAGCGAATTGCATTCTGGGAGCATAAAGTTTCCGTCTTTGATATGGCTTAAAATATGACAGAGAATAGGAAATCCTGGTAAATGCACCTACAGGGCAAGATCGAGCTCCCTTCCAACTTGATAGCATCAAACAACATCATCTAAATACCTGATTAAGTAAATTTTGTATCATTGTTTGGGAGAATCAGTTGACCAACGCATCTGGATTGAACTTTTTTCATTTGAAGCTAACCAGATTTTGTGAGACCATTCATCAACTTACCCTTCTATGTTCATCATGTAGGGCTCTAACACAAGGTTACAATGAGCTCAATTTAGGGGATTTACATACTGTTTGTGCATGTTTGGAGTATAATTCCCACCCAG